TAAAACGGTCTTGGAGGAGTTTGTGACCATTGGACCTTGTCATCCCTTGGGGTACTTTGGTGAACAGACATTTCCCCCAGATCCTGATGTACACCCCTTATATACTTATAGGCTGCCACCAGGTCACCCCTGAGCCTGCACGTTTCCAGACTGAGTAGTCCCATGGCTCTCAGCCTCTCTTCATAAGGCCTGTTCTTTTGCCCTCTGAGCATGTGTGTGGCTCTCCTCTAGACCTTCTCAAGCTTCTCCACATCCTTTTTGAATTGCGGAGCCCAGAATTGGATGCAGTACTCCAGCTGCGGCCTCACCAAGGACAAGTACAGCAGCTGAGTACTTCTTCTCCAAGGCCGAGTACCAAGGCTGAATACACCAACGCTGAGTACTTCTTCTCTCCCTTCCCCCAACACACTTACACAGTAGTTCTATACAACTTGAGTTTAAGGACAACTTTATATCTGTGGAGGTAGTACAAAGAGACTGGAGCTAAGGTAGTGAAGAATCTGAAGGTCTGTACTGAGTCCTCATCACCTTTCTCTCCTTATCTGAGTCAGAATGGAGCAGAAATAGGAGGGTATTGTGGAGGTGAATGCGGGTGATCCTAGACAGAGGTAGATTTCATATGAGAAGAGGCTGAACAGGTTGGTACTGTTTAGTTCAGAGAAGAGTGGAGAAAACAGAAGTATTCCAAACGATATTTATTATGAAGGTCAATTACATGCCTGTTTCCTTTTTCCATACGATATGAACAAGAAGCCAGACAATGAAATTGAAAGGCAGCAAACAAAAAGAGCAAATACTATCTTTCACAGCACGTTAACCTGTGGAACAAGTGTTCAGTAAGGTTCAAAAAAAGGATTATAAGTATGAGTAATGAGAACATTCATTGTTCCATTTCATAAAACTACTACTTTTTTTTTTAATTAGAATGTGTAAAGTTTCATAATGTAAAGCTTCCTGTGAGTAGAGAGTACATTTTTCTGTCATCCTATGCCACTTAAACACACACAAGAGCCAGTATCAAAAGCCTTTTGGGAAGTCATATCCAGTTGGTTAAGAGCATGGAAATTTCTGCTAATGCTCCCACTAATACTCACTTTCAGTGCCTGGCGCAGTGCGTGGCATATCATTGATATGGAAAACACAAACTTCCTGCCCAAGAAACTGAAAAAGAAGTTTGGCAGCTTGAAGTCCCTGCCTACACATCAAAACACTCAAAAGAACGTGGTGGGGGGAAGGAACAAGAGCATATTACATAGTCTGGATATAACGGTAGATACTTGCTAATTTACACAGTCGTCTTATAGCAGCTACTTTTGTTGGTGTACTGGAAACAGAGAGAAGATATATCATTGGTAGTCAGGATGGATAAAAATCAACAATTTAAAAATAAAAATGGATTTTTAAAAAAAATTAAATCAGTTTTTTTAAATCATATTTTACATTTTTTTGTTAAGATGCTTTTACAAAAATTAAGTTTTAATTTAAGAAATGTTAACACTCAAAGATATAATCATGGAATAGGGATTGCAACTTATAATTATATGCTGTTTGAGACAGTATATTCGTGTAACTTTTTTAGAAAAGTTTTATATAAATAGGTCACAACAGGCCATGGACTGTATTAGGGGCCCAATCTTATGGGGTTCCCAGAGACTCCTCTACAAATTAGTAAAGATTAAAGAAAATAGGACTCTGCCCAATGGGACTCGGTGCTCAGTCTAGAAGATCCCATTAAGCATCTCTCTGATGCTTAGTTTCAGTTCTCAAAGTGTGGATTGGTGTCTCCAGAGATAACATCCTTGTTAACAGCAGTGTATGGAGATGAGAGAGAACCATGGATCTGAGTTTTCCATTTCCCACGGAAAAATGGAGTAAACCACAGATTTTACCTTTTACTGGAGGCAAATGCAGATTTCTCATTTTACCAGAGAAACCCATGGATTTTGCAGTTTTGCAATGAGCCCTCTGCAGGCTGGCAGAGTTCCAGGCTACAGGGGGCTGCGAGGGAGTGGAAGGAGGGTGGTCAGGCAGGGGGCACCATATGTGGATATGCACTTGGCCTCAGCCAGCCTGGAGAGCAGCTCCTGCAGGTAAGTGTGGTGGGGGGATTGAGGCCTCCATAGGGACAGAGGGCAGGAGTTGAGTAGGGCTGGGGCTGCTGCCCAGCTGGGCGGTGGGCTTGCGGCCGTAATGTGTGGCCGCAGGGCCCCAGAGGGGAGTGGGACGGGGCTGCGGGTGGCTTGTCTGGAGCATGGGGGGGCAGCTTCCCACCACTGCACGCAGTCTTAGGGGGACAGGGGACCCACGTTCCCCAGATCTGTACACAGGGTAGGAGTGGGTGGGCTGCCCGCTGTGGGCTTGGGCAGGGTAGGGGCTGCTCCCTGCCGCTGCATGCACTCTGGAGGGGTAGGGGGGACCTGCACCCCCCCAGGTCTCATGCTTGGCTCCTGAGGGTCACATACCTTTGCACTTTCACCGTTTGTCTTAAATATTTTTATAATAAATATTTATTATATATTATTTAATATAATAAATATTTAAAAAGTTAAAGGTTCTTTCTCTCTCTCTCTCTCCTGGCGGTAGAATGTTGCGGTGTAGCCTTGCCTCTTCTGCGCTACCTGAAAGCCCCAAGCTCATCAGGATTCAAACAATAACTTTTCTGAAGCACTTAAGAAATAAAATCAAATTTATATTCAGAGCAAAACAAACAAAATATCTCCAGTAAATTCCCATCTTGCCTCTCACTTTGTGGTTTCTTTTTCAGCCTTTAATACTATTCAGCTTCCTTTTCAGGTCTGCAGATTTTCCTAGTATTGGTTAATAGAGTTGAGGCAAGTGACCTTATACATTTAATATTTTGCAATATTAATGTATGTCGGCATCAAGCCATTTGACTGTTATGTGGAAATGGGTTCTTGAAGTAGATTAAATGTTACTGAATAAAAAGATTAACATCATTTTCTTTCAGCATCATATTACAATACTGTTTATCTAGAGCTTTTCCAACAGAGTATTTCAAGTAACCTGATTATTTTTGTTTATATTGAGGCCCCCTCATAGTGTGTACAGTGTTAAATGGAGTATAGTGGGAGTAAAGTATACTTTAAAAAGGAGCCCCACAAAAGAGTGGGGGGAAAAAGCAGAGCTGTGTGTAAAAGTAAAAAGTTTTTCTCCCCCCACCCTGAGCAGGGGTCAGGCTGGCTGCTGCCCCTGCTGCTGACTGGGCGAGAAGGCTGCCTACATGCAGCCTCTCATCCCTGCAAGGTCCAGCCCTGTTATTTCTCCCCCCACCCCCCGACAGCTTACAGCTGTCCAGCCGGGCTGGGCCCATCCCGTGGTAAGCGGGTGCTGCAGAAAGTGGGAAATGGAGCAGAGCTGGGCCAGGGTTTGGAGGAGGCAGTGGGGCCTGGCCAGGGAAGAGTGGGGCAGCAGTAGCTAGTCCCCACACCCACTTGGTGTTGGGCAGGAGGTGAGGGTATGCTTATTTTGCCCCCCATGCAGGTCAGGGCAGGGAGCAGGGCTAGGCCAAGGCAGTGGGGCAGTGGCAGCCCACATGTCTGCTGGCTGCCTCCGCCATTCAGAGGCTCTGGGGGAGCGGCTGTGATCTGCCCATGAAACTGAAGCCCAGGGCTGTGTTGAATCCTTGAAATTTGGCCCCAGGCTCTGTGATTTGAGTACACCCATACTGATAGGTACTTAAAATAACATAGGATACCTTATAGAATTGTTAGATCTAAAGCCCTTGATATAGTTATGACTGTATATTAATAATATATGTGACTATAGTTATTTAAGTCTATATTTGATAGAATGCTTGAATATTTATTTTATATTGTTTCAGCTTCCAAACAATTTGCTGAAGAGGTCTTAAAAACCCACAATGACTACAGAAAAAAGCATGGAGTTCCCCCACTAAAGATTTGTAAGGCGTTAAACAATGGAGCACAACAGTGAGTTTAGTCCTTTCTTAAAGTGAGATTTTTAAATCACATTTGTGGATTGGTGTACAATATTCTATCAGCCAACATTTGGCTCTGATTATTCATACTACAACAATTTGTGCATGTTTGTATGATAACACCCAGTAATGGAAGTGTTGCCTTTCTTCTACGATACATCTATAAGTGATGATTCTGTATAGATGAGTCTTTCTCATGGTGGTGTAGAGAGAGACAATAATTTCAAAGTTATCAACATAAGTTTATGATAGATAAATATCTTGTGGTAATGTTATTTTGTGCTCTGGGGTAAAAAAAAATCATAGTTTAGGAACATGGAAAGTTATCATACTGAATCAGATACCATACACTCCTCATAGTTCAGGACTTGGCACTTAATATCATATGCCATAAAGAAAGATACACGAAATTCCATAGATTTCATAGACATTAGGGCTGGAAGGAACCTTGCGAGATCATCAGGTCCAGCTCCCTGCCCAAGGGGCAGGAAGTCAGCTGGGGGTAGATGACCCCAGCAAGGTAAGCATCCAAACACAACTTGAATGTGTCCAGAGTAGGTGCTTACACCACTTCTGTGGGGAGTCTGTTTCAGACTCTGGAGATTCAGACAGTAAAGATGTTTTTCCTCATGTCCAGTCTAAAATGGTCTTCTAGTAGTTTGTGATCATTGGACCTAGTCTTCCCTAGGGGAGTCGTGGTTAACAGGTGTTCTCCGAGGTCCTGATGTACACCCCTGATGTATTCGTAGGCTCCCACCAAGTCCCCGCTGAGCCTACACTTCACCAAGCTGAGGAGTCCTGTGTGTCTCAGCCTCTCCACATAAGGCCTGCTGTCTTGACCTCTGATCATGTGTGTGTCTCTCTCTCCTGTCTCCTCTGGACTCTTCTAAGTGCACAGAGAAGCCTATGGCTTCCAATGGCCAGCTTAGCTGCCTATACATTAACGCCAAGAGCATGGGGAACAAACAGGAGGAACTGGCCCTCCTGTTAAACAATAACAAACATGATCTCATAGGGATAATGGAGACCTGGTGGGACTCCACCTATGACTGGACTACAGGTATAGATGGCTATACCTTGTACAGGAGGGACTGAGCTGAGAGGAAGGGTCAGGGTGTAGCTCTCTCTGTCAAGATGCAGTACACCTCTGTACTAGCTGACATTAGCACCCAAGAAAGGCAACTCAAAACCCTCTGGGTCAACATGGAGAACGTAGTGAAGGGGATATAACCATAGGAGTCTATCGCAAACCTCCTAACCAGGAGGAAGAGCTTGACCACCCATTGCTTTTGGTGCATGGTTGTCATGGGTGATTTCAACCACCCTGACATCTCATGGGGGGAACATTCAGCCAAATCTGATTGGTTATATAGCTTCCTCACCTGCATTGATGAGTTCTGTTTGACTGGAGAAGTCCACAGGTCAACAAGAGGCAAGGCTCTGCTAGATCTGATTCTGGCCAAAGGGGATGATCTAGTGAGCAACCTGAGGATCGAAGGGAACAGTGATCACAAGTCGATCCTTATCCATCGCAAAGCTGGCAGATCAGTCAGCAATGTAGAAATCCTTGACTTCAGGCAAGCTGACTCCCAAAAGCTCAGAAGGTTGGCTGCTGAGATCCTGAAAGATCATGATGCGACAGGGAAGGGAGTCTAAGATGAGTGGTCACTCCTTAAGGATACAATCCTAATAGCTCAAGGAAAGTCCATTCTGGCCTGCAAGAAAGGCAGTAAAAGGGCTGGGAAGCCTTCTTGGCTAAATAGGGATCTCATGGACCTCCTTAATCTTAAAAGAGAATCCTATAAGTGTTGGAAGCCAGGTAATACCTCTAAAGGAGGATTGTGTATCACTGGCCCACACGTGTACAGAACAGACCAGAAAAAAGCCAAGGCTGAAACTGAACTCAGGTTGGCTATGGGAATCAAGGGCAATAAAAAGTCCCTTTTCAGATGCATAGGAAGTCATAAGAAAAATAAGGACAACATTGGACCCCTGCCGAGTCAAATGGGGCAGCCGACTACCGCCCCCCCAGAAAAAAGTTAATCTCCTTAATGATTACTATGCGTAAGTTTTTCACCAGCCCAGGGGGATCACCCTGCCTGACAGGACACAGGACTATGAGGGTACAGGTGACCATACGCCTACATTTGGCGAAGACACTGTGAAGGAGCACCTTGAGAGGCTGGACATCTGTAAGTCAGCGGGCCCTGGTGAAATGCACCCAAGAGTGCCAAAAGACGTGGCTGACATCTTAGCTCGGCCTTTGGCGTGGATATTCGAAAAGTCAAGGCACTTGGGTGAGGTTTCTGAAGACTTGAAGAGGGCCAATGTGGTGCCTATCTTCAAGAAGGGAAAGAAGGAAGATCCAGGGAACTACAGGCTAATCAGTTTGATCTCAACCCTTGTAAAGATCTTCAAGAAAATTATCAAAGAATCCATCAATAACAGGCTAACAGAAGGTGCCATCCTTTTTTTACTTGGATTTAAAAAGCCTTTGACTTGGTCTCCCACGATGTCCTTATGGCAAACTGGGGAAAAAGTGAAATAACTGGTCCATAAAATTCACAATTTTAAATTCATTGTTTTAAACTGAACTCCTAGATAAAATGTAGAAAAGATTAATAGACAAAAGAAACCAGAATTGCAAACTTGAAGGAAAAGCAAAAAAACCCAACCCAAATAAACCCTTATATAAAAAAACCCACACACAACAAACAAACACAAAAAATCAGAAAGGCAGAACCATGTCCCCTTCTTCCCCTCCCTTCCCCAAAAGCTAAAATGTAGATAGAAGAACACTACTGCTGGACTTCTTTCAATAGGAGTCCTTCTAGTTCTATATGCTGGCCAAAATGACAGGCAGAATTGCATAGTATGTAGGTGTAGGTAGGAGGAGCTTAGTTTATGAGAAACCTTTTTGGGATGGGCATGTCTGTGTAAGAAGGATGAGCTCCATCTGAACCAAAATTAAACCAGACTGCTGGTGCTTAAAGAGGTTAGAGAAGAGTTTTAAACTATGAGCTAGGGCAAGGAGTGAGCAGTTATTTTTGCTGGTGGGCCACTTAATTAATTTTGGTATGTTCTCAAGGGCCACACTTTCTCTTTTTCTCCCCTCTCTGCCCCCGGGAGCTGTAGCATCCCCACCGTGACCCGAGTGCCCCCCAACATGGTAGAAGCAGCCCTGGGTGGGTCCCGGCAGTGTTTAAGGACCATGCTGCTGACATCAGCTGTAGACTCTAGCAGCAGGTTCCAGCCAGGGATTGGGGCATCCACCCCATTCCACAGCTGACTGCACTGTGTCAGCGCTGGGTGAAAGCAGTCCTGCCTGCCTGGCATGGCAGAAACAACCCCACCTGCCTGCCTGGCACCCAGCAGTGCCTGGAACCATGGGCTGTATTTTGCCCATCCTTGCATTGGGGGGGAAAGCCAGCAGGGGTGGAAGAGCATGCAGTTGGATTACAATATCCCTAAGGGGAGATGTCATGAAAACTATTTCCTATTAACGAGGGTAGACAAGTGAAAAATGCACATATAGAAGATAACAAAAGTCAGAACAAATGGAGCTTACTAGTAGGGTGCTTTAAGCACCACACCACGGGTCAGGTGTCACCTTACTTTGACCAGGGTCATGATTGGGGTGTTTTAGCTTACTCTACAAGGTCACACAGACCTAACAGAAGAAACTGCTGTTGTCTACACCCAAGCACTAGTTCCCTCTCCCCTTTTAAAGTGGCTACAATTGTATATTTGTCCATTCTTTGTGTTCTGATTTGTAAGTCATAACAGGGATCCTGCTTTTCTCTATTTAAAAAATCCCCAATTCTCTTAAAAAAAAAAAAAAATAAAAAAATAAAAAAAAATCACAACTTCTCTTATTAAACCCCCCAAAATCCACGTTTTTCTGCAAACAAATGCCACTAGTGTATGTGTAATATCTATCGAACACAATATTTTATTGATATATTTACAATTTTAGAGCAGTTTGGAAGCCTACCAGTGCCTCAATCGTTATAATAAAATAAATTCTAAATACCTATATATTTTGGTGTTTGATTTTGGTTTTATCATGGGGGAAAAAAAGAAATCAGAGCTTCCCTTGCCTACTTTGTTTATCAGGGCTGCAGCTGTCCCCTCTCCTGTTTTGCAGT